CTTCATCAAGAATCCTGTTGGGTTGGTTTAGCCACAATTCCTCTTAGCTCTGCTGTTTCCTCTCAGTCACTTTTCAACCACTGACTCCCACCCTGCTCCTTGGCTATAGATTCTCATTTGCCCACGATGTATTTAGAGCTGAGCTCAAACTCCCCTCTGCTGAAAAAATCCCATTGCAATGGTTCCTATATCTATCACAATGGTCCTGAATAAAGTCTTTCCTCAACACATGCAACAAGTGTCATTGAAATGTTTTTCTTTGACATTAGAAATGAAAATCACAGGGAACTCCTAAGAGAAAGAAAGAAAGAAAATTAAGAAATAATTGTCCATGCCGGGCACGGTGGCTCATGCCTGTAATCCCAGCATTTGTGGAGGCTGAGGTGGGTGGATCACTTGAGGTCAGGAGTTTGAGACCAGCCTGGGCAACATGGCAAAACCCCATGTCTACTAAAAATACAAAAATTAACTGGGTGTGGGGGTGCACACGTGTGGTCCCAGCTATTCAGAAAGCTGAGGCAGGAGAATCGATTGAACCTGGGAGGTGGGGCTTGCAGTGAGCCAAGATCACAACGCTACACTCCAACCTGGGCTACAGAGCAAGACTCCACCTCAAAAAAAAAGGAAATAACTGTTCAGCTCACATGATACACTTCTCAGGGGCTCGTTTGCAGAGCACTTTTTTGTTTTGCTTTCTGCCCTTAGCCCCTACCCCTTCTTCTACAGGGCTTTCTTTCTTCTACTATACCAGCACCTGCTTTTCTAAATTAGTCATCAGTCAGTCAGCCAAACAGTCGATATATCAGTTGATCAACCACTCAATCAGCCAGCTAGTCAGTCGTTCAGTGAACTGGCCAGTTAGGCAACTAGTCTATCAGCTCATTTCTTACTTATGCACCCACCTCCTCCCTCCCTCCATCTTTCACTTGCTCGCTTACAGACTCACTCACTCAGCAGCATCCTTTAGTCATTGGACACCCACTCACCAACTAGCTAGTCTATCATCTGGTTACGCACCCATTTTTACTAGGGTGTAAGTTCTGTCTTGAGCATCCTTCCTGCCCTTAAGGAGCTTGCACTCTGGGTGGATATAAAAAGTCCCTCCACACACACCACACACACATCAGTGTATTAACATCCAGGCACGAGGCCTCTTACAGGTGACAGATGATTGCAGCACAGATCTTCTAGGTAGAAGAAGGGAAGGGAAGGGCTATGTGTATGGTTAGGATAAACAGGGATTGCTACTTAAGCATTGGCCTGAATCTGAAAAGATAAATTAGTCCAAAACACATGCTAGGACTTCATGGGTTCTGCCTGTAAGGTCAAACTCTCCGCTTATTCATTTGTATATCATCTGCCCATTTATTCATGTGTCCATTTGCTGGCTCACATGTATAAAGTGGATTTAATATGTGCTTGGTTAGTGTGAGGGGTAGAGGAGAAACACCCAAATAGCATAAATTAGAAGTTGTGGATATTGAGCAAAGGAGGGAAACACATCTTTTGGGAAAGACTGGGGAAAGGGGCCGTGAGGAAAGTGGTGTTTAAGATGATTCCTAAAGACTGAATTTCACTGGGAAATCTGGGAGTAGGGCATCATCACAGATTGAATGATTTGAGGCAGGAAAGTATCAGGCAAGTTCCGGAAACAGGAATAATTTTGTCTGGAACTGTCTTAAGGAAGCTAAAACAGGAATTATAGGTGGTGGCAGCTTATGCAAGATCTTTAAACAGTTTGTATTCCCTCCCCTTCTTCAAGTGCATGAAGGACTCTTACACATACACTCTAGCTCACCTGCATTAGACTGAATTAGGAATGGTGGCTACCTGCATGCATGTGACCACTCACCTCTCTCATAGCAGACACCATTCACCAAGGAAGGCACTTTACCCACTGATCCTGAAATCAACCTCAACACCCTCAATTCACTGTCAGTTCCACCAGGATGAAACAAGGCTGCCTTCCCTGACCTAATCATACATTTACAGACTCTTAGCCCTCAATGGAACCTTAGCAATAATGTTGGCCAATCTCTTCACATTGGAAACCAGGAAAATTGAAGCCTAGGAAAGTTAGAGGATGTACCCAAGATTTCACAGCCAGTGAGGGGCGAGTATTCCCAGAGCTAACTCCCTCCTCCCTCGGCTCCCACCCTGTGTCTCTAACTGCAACCATGTCACGTCACAGGAAAGGGGGACTAGTGCTTCAGCTCCACTTGGCTTCCATGAGGCATATTCTGGCATGCTTCCCAGATGGGCGATTTGGCTACTCATCCCCACCCTTCCACTGCCAGTGTTCAACTTCCACAATGCATGGTCTGTGGATGTTCCATGAAGACTAGTGTCTCACACAAGGTTCAGGGCTGGTTTCTCCCTAAACTCCTAGTGCTGCCCAGGGTCTTCTAGAAATGTGTCATAGCGGGATGAGAGGTAGAGCGAAGAGATAAATTAACCACATATTTCTGGAGATTCACCTTCTGACTGTTCTCCCTCCAAGGAAGTCCTTCTGTGAAAGGGACTTCCTTTAATATTATCATACAGAATACCTAACATTAGTATCAAAACATCTTCTACGCAAACAGATAAATTAGAGGGTGAAATGATTCATGTTGCAAATGGACTTCCTACATTAAAGAACAAAAAAGTTGCAAGGTCTCCTTAAGTAGCATCTTCTAAAGTGTCTGTTGACAGATTGTTAAGTAATCAGTGAAGGGAGAAACGCGAAACTAAAATTTTCTAAGCCATGATTGCTGGTTAAATATCAACCCAAAATTAAGATAAATCAAATATTACATTATTCTGATTTTATTTTATTTTATTTTCTATTTTGAGACAGGGTCTCATTCGGTCACCCAGGCTGGAGTGCAGTGGCTCAATCACGGTTCACTGCAGCCTCGACCTCCCGGGCTTAAGTGATCCTCCTGCATCAGCCTTTTGATCAGGTGGGATGACAGACATGTGCCACTATGCCTGACTAATTTTTAAATTTATTTTGTACGGACATGATCTCTCCATGTTGCCCAGGCTGGTCTCAAACTCCTAGCCTCAAGTCATCTGTCTGCCTGGGTCTCCCAAAGTGCTGGAATTACAGGCATGAGCAACCATGCCCGGCTAAATCTAATTTTTAAAATGAGATGCTACTTGCTCAGTTTTGAATTTTCACTTTACAGGACAAGCAACTAAAATTCAGGAACCCTGGCCCCAAACCTCCACTGTCTTCTCTACTAAGCTTGGTCCTCCTCCCCTAAAACTCTCTCATGATTCACCCAGGATGATCCTTTTTGTCTTTTCTTCTTTCATTCCTGGAAATGGCGTAATAAATATGTTCCATTTGTCTCCAGATGGAGTCATTAACAACCTTTCTTTTCTCCAAAATCCAGAGACAAATAGAAAGATGTGTCTGGATTAAGAGTTAAATTATTAACACTGTCTCTGGTAGGTCCCCTCCCAGTGCTCAGGCCTCTGCCAGTCACCCCATTGTTTGCCTGCAGGGTGGAGCTGGGTTTCTCAAGCTTTGACTCAGCTTCAGAAATGAGTCTTGCCTGCACCCTCCCTTCCCTGATGGAGTCACAGGCACGCACCTGCTCTCAGGTGCCTGCTCCCCTGCGCGGGAAGATGCAGAGCCCGGCTTTCTGGTTTTTAATACAGCATGGTCCTTTGAAGATGAGAGAGCAGATGCAGAACTCCAGATTGGCCAGGACACAGTCCCATGGCTAGGCTGGGGCAGTGGGGCTGGGAGGGGTGACGGCAGAGTCACCATTCCACATAGCTTCCCAGGGCCCGCCTTATCTGGAGGGGCTGATTTGAGGGGTGCCAGGAAGTCTCCTCTCTCCTTTGAAAGCATAATCCACTGCCCTAGCCAGCCAGGGTGTTTGGAAATCAGCTATTACCCATTTAAGAGAGTTGGGTGAACCCTCCCTCCTGGATTCTGGATCCAGGGACCATCAGAGCTAGTTTTCTCGCCTATAAAATGTATAATACAATTAGCTTTCTTCATAGTGTATTGTGAAAACTGCATATGGAAGCGTTTGATAAGGTTTAATAACTAATAAAAAAGCACCTGTACCTGGCAATGTGAGGCAGGGATCAGTGAAGATCTCTTAGAGGAGGGAGGGAGGACATGCTAGCGCTAGCAGGGAAAAGAGTACCTGGCTCCCAGGAAGGAAAGCAGGAGGAAGACTGGGGCAAGAAGAGGTGGAGACCACCACAGGCAGCTTCCTAATTTGTCATCAATGCAGCCTCTGCTAAGAAGCTGCCCAGTATTTCACTCCTGTCGGCTGACTGAGAGGAACTGTGATGTCAGGAGACTTACAGTTCAACCCTGGATGTGACATTAGCCCTCATGTGACCTTGGGCTAGGCCTGGCCTCATTCCAAGTCTCAGTTTCCCTCTCTGTAAAATGGGAATAATGTAGCTGACAGGGAAGTTGAGTGTGGAAGTTTTGAAAGGTGTAACATGTTGAATGCACATGAGGTTGACTGGGTCTTGAGTGTTTATGATCTATGGCACGTGGTCCCTTTAAGGCCAGCCATATTTAGGTCTCTATCCTGGCCACCCCTAGGGTATTCTCTGAGATGATAGCTGCTTTATAAGCCGAACTTTATCGCATGACAGAATGTTTCAAAACTAAGCAGGAGTTCTTTATTAATAAAATAAAAGGGCAGTGATCAAATTGGGGAAAATAGGAGTAAAATTCATTGCAGTAAACCCACATGGGTGACTGGGACATGAGGAATGGAGCTGTCCATCTGTTCACAGGCAAAACACACATACCGGTGCCTTCGAGGCACCAGGCATGTGAAAAGCCTTGGTCTATGTCCATGCAAATCTGTCTTGCTGCATAGTTTCCTTGTGGGGAGTCCATATCAGCAAGAGCACAGAGGACTGGGAGCGTGTGGAAGTGAGGGCTGCAGGTGGAGGTGGTGTTCTTCTTGGAGGTGGAATGCAGAACCGGAATCTGGAACCCCGAATATTACATTCTTCGTGTTGCTAGGCTTGGGAGGAGGAAGTGGGGGAGGTCTGGCCTGGAGGGGAAAAGTAAGGGGCTGATTAAAGTGAGGCTGACCCTGAAAAACGAACAGTTTTCCATCCACATACGACAGAAAGCTCAGGAGACATTATTAGTCATGGTCCCCACCCAATGACAGTGACTTGTCCACCATGGAGATGCTGGCCACGGTGATGGGGTGGAAATGTGCCCCAGGCCAGGCCCCCACCCAACTCCACCCCGAGCAGCTGCATGTGGTTGGGCAGGTCCTTTAACTTCTTTGGGCCTGCCTCTTTAAACTGTCAGTAAAATTGTTATGAGGATTAAATGAGGCAAGGGATTTGAAAAATGCTTTGGAAAGTACATTAATGTATTCCTATCATTTCTCAGGCCATCTTACCCCTTCCTCTGGTAATGGCAGCAGTGAGCCCTTGCATGGCCTCTTGGGCAGCGTCCTGACATCCATCTTTGGGGTAGAAGGCTAGAGGTGGACCAGCTTCCCCGAGGACCTGCCTTTCCCCATCCCAGGGCCTAGGAGGCTATATGAAGGACCAAGGCTCCTTTCTCCCACCTAGATAAGGCCCTGAGTAGGATTGCTGGATTTAGCAAATAAAAATAGAGCCTGCCCAGTTAAATTTGAATTTCATATAAACTACAAGTAATTTTTAGTATGTTTCCTGCAATATTTGGAATATACTTATACTTTCAAAATATTCTGTTATCTGAGATTCAAATTTAACTGAATGTCCTATATTTTATGTGGCAAGTCTACCACGGGGACCAATTCTATCCCACATTCTGTGACCAACACGATTACTCCTCAGCACCCCAACTCCCAGTGGGCAGATAGGGACAGCACCACCGTGTGCTGGGGCACCATTCACATCATCTTCTACCTGTGCCCCAGAGAAGCCCCACAGAACACTACGTGGACTGTCTCCCTGGATTAGGAAGGACACTTGCACTGTGAATTGAGGAAGGGGGATGAATGGTACCTGGGGCTCGGGATTGAATCATCCAGATCTGAATTCAAATCCCATCTCTGCTGTTACTACCTGTTTAATCTTCCTCAGCCTCACTTTTCTCATCTGCAAAATGGTAACGATGACACTTTCCCTAGAGGGGCTATGAAGATGAAATGAAATAATAAGCATGGCAGGTGGTCCTGGTGCTAGCCTCGCAGTGAGTGCTCGAGAAACGGCAGCAATTTGCAGCAAAGGGGATGTTCACATTTTTGTCAGAATTGCCCCAAACTCCATCCTCTCCCTCTTCCTCTTTTTGCTTCAATGTTTCTTATAACTGTCTGCCTGCAAACAGCCCTTTCAATTTGTTCTATATTATCTATGTAATCGTATACTATCTATATTATCTACATAATTGATCTATATTAAAAAGACCTTGATTCCCCGAGTTTGAGCAAACAACTTTGGTGGGTTAAATCAGCTCAGGTGCAGGGACTTGGAGTGCTGAAAATATGTGGTGGGTGGCTTTCATCAAAACAGCTCAGCAAAGCAAGTCCCTGGAGGAAGTGCAGGTGGGAGAAGTGGGTGAGGAATTCTCTGGGAGGTGGTAATCAGGACCACACCAAGTGCCCTGGGCAGGTTGGGGGCCGTATAAAGGCTCTTGGAGTGGCTGCCTATGGAACAGGGCTCAGCCTCCTCTCCTGGGGTCCAGTTTGCCGCCTCTGGTAAGTGGGAACTCATCTGTTCTCCTGGGATTTGTGGGGCTCTTTCCTTCTCCTTTAACTTCTTTGAGCCGCTAGGCCAAGATCCTGTACTATCCTTGGGTAATCAGGGAAGTGACACAAGTCTCCTGACAATTGCAGACAGGGCACACTAATCATTACTTAGAAAGTTTAATCTCCATTCCACACCATTGCTCGCTTGGTATGACTTCTTTCCTGATCGTGGTTTGACTCCCCAGCAAGAAGATTTTTCTTGTTGAAGGAAGAGATTTTTAGAGCTATAGAATTTTGTGGCAATTCTGAGCCCTGTTTAAAGCTTTCTCACACCCTATTCTGCATTTTCCTTACCAGTAAGCTTTAAACTTTTCTTCCAGGTGTATGGAAACAGGTATATTAAACAGTGTATTCAATCCTATGCAGCTCCCATTCTTCCCTGTTCTGATTGCCACCTCTTTACTTTCTGAGGCCTGCACTTCCCATCTATAATCATTAACTTAGACCATAAGGAACACTGCCTACAAAGATAGCCAGAGACACTCATCAGAGCTGGGAAGGCTTCAGGGAACTTCCTGACCAGCATCCTTCTAATAAAGGTGCTGAGGCCCAGAGAAGGCAGGTTGCCCATGCAGTGAATGGCAGGATGGACCTAGAACCCAAGCCTGAGCCTTCTTGGCTAGTGCTCTTTCCTTTGAACATCCTCCTATCATCCTATGGCTCCAGTGATCTATTTGGCTGGCCCTTAAGCTTCCCAGTTCTTTGTAGAAGGCTGGAACCACTATCCTATAGCCATATAGGACTTGCCTTAGCCTCCCGTGGTGAGTCAGGGGTGGAGCAGGGATTAGAGATCAGGCCTCTGCAATCTTGGTACATCCCTTGTCCAGCCCAATCTCTCTCTCTCTCTCTCTCTCTCTCTCTCTCTCTCTCACACACACACACACACACACACACCATGATGCTTCCCTGTAAGGCAGAGACTGTTCTTGTTCTCTCCCCACACCCCTACATCCTTGCCCATTCTTATTGTCTGCATTATCCAAGGGAGCCAGTTGACATTGTCCAGATCTGTCGGCTAAGATGGCATGCTTTGACCTTGTAAAATGTCTGGGATACTTTTTAATCATCAGACATGCTTCTCATGGTGTCCCTGCCCGGTTTCCTTTAGGCTCACCTGTTCCTAGAGCAATGTCTTCCCAGCAGCAGCAGCAGCAGCAGCAGCAGCACTGCCCACCCGAGAGGGCCCAGCAGCAGCAAGTGAAGCAACCTTGTCAGCCACCCCCTGTTAAATGTCAAGAGACATGTGCACCCAAAACCAAGGATCCATGTGCTCCCCAGGTCAAGAAGCAATGCCCACCGAAGGGCACCATCATTCCAGCCCAGCAGAAGTGTCCCTCAGCCCAGCAAGCCCCCAAGAGCAAACAGAAGTAAGGATGGACTGGATATTACCATACTCCACCATCCTGGCTATCAGATGGAACCTTCTCTTCTTCCTTCTCTTCTTCCCTCCAGCTCTTGAGCCTACCCTCCTCTCCCATCTCCTCCTGCCTAAGATGTAAGGAAGCACTGTAAGGATTTCTTCCCATCATACCCCTCCCCACGCATACCACCTTGGCTTCTTCCATATCCCACCCTGATGCTCTCCCAGGTAGGCATGAGAGAGACCTCATCCTCTCCAGGCTCCAGCATGGCCACAGCTAAGGCCCATCCATTCCCCAAAGTGAGGAAAGTGTCTGGGCTTTTTCTGGGGTTCCACCCTGACAAGTAGGGTCACAGAGACTGGTGCACAGTTTCTGCCTCATTCCTTTCCCTGATGCCCCCTAATCTGGGCTTCTCTCCTATTTTCCCCAATAAATAATGTGCTTCATGTAATAAATGTGTCTGCTTCCTGGGCTAATTGTCCACTCCCAGTCCCATTCTGTGATTCATTCATTCATTCAGAGAGGGAACATTTTAGGGAAGTGAAGGTGCAAGTACACACATGCCTGGGAGTTCAGGAAGTCACTCTTACGGACACAGTTACTCTCTGGTAACCAACCATGGGGAAACATATCCAGACATATCTCAGGTAAAGGAGGACAGAAAACAAGCCCAGCAACTCATTGACAAAAGTTTAATAGAGTCTTGCATAACTAATCCCATCTAGGGAAGATCAAAAAGGAGGAAAATTTAGCTCCTATCATTAGAAGCCCAGCCCACCTGATGAATGCAGTTTTTTCCTCTTGGAAGTTGTCATTCTGAAAAAACACACAAAGCATACATAAATGGCCTGAATCCTGCAAAACATTTCTACAAACATGTGCAAATGACTTTTTCACATATTTGTTTATGTTTTTGTTCATTCATTAACTCACGCTCATGCACTTACTTATTCATACTCATCTGATATGTAGCAAGTTCTAGAATGACTTTAGTTTTCCACTCTGCCATGCTGGATTTCCAGAGCTATCCAGAGTCAGTTTATCCTGTGTCTCAGTGTACTTTTTGGAAGTCAAAGTCATTTGCTTACACAGGGAAATGTTGTTTCAGGGATGGCCACGTACAGAGAGTTTGTATAAAGTACACAGGGCCTGGTTTTGTCAGTTAGTCTGACTTTATGCAGCTTATGAAAGAAACCTGTTTTTACAACTGGCTTCCTGACCCTCCAAACCCACGTGTGAGACCAGCGGCCTGTATTGGAAAGAAGTGGCATACCTCCCAGACATAAAGAAAGAAAAGTATTTGAAGAAGAGACCCTGAGTAGGAAGGAGTAGTTGAACACAGAGTCCGATTTTCTCCCCTTGAGCTTTATTCTTTTCCTGGGATTTGGTCACTCAATTTCAGTGCCACCATCAAGCATAAATTGCTTTCTCACTTAACACACTAGCCTAAAAAGGAACAAATGATCACCTTCTCTACTTTCCCTTAAAGTAGCTATCCATGGCTGATATTTCCAAGTAGTAGTTACTTAAAACTTAGTGGGTACCGACATTAACCAGGAAAGTCAAAGTATTGTAAAAACAATTAAGATTCAAAAAGAATGCTTCTAGCCCTAAGAATTCATTGACAGCCTATCTTTGCCCCAATCCCTGCATCCTAAAATAACTCCCCTCTGTCAAGTACAAAGGCTAGTCTGTCTTAGCAGTCCCCTTCCTGGCTTCCTTCCATCTAAGCCCTATTCAGTTTCTTGGACACACTATTTTTCAGGGGTTTCATGTCATTTTCATGTCTCCCAGGAAGGCCTTGACAAGTCTTCCCACAGACTTTTGAGTTCCGGGCTGATAGATTTGCGTGGTCTTCAGCTAATTGGACAGATAGGGGTGATTGAAACAATGAATATTTCTGCTGTGATCTGTGTCTCAGTTATTAACTCAGTGAGGAAGGGGAGATACCCGTGTTTAAAGTCCCATCTCTGCATGACTAGGTGGGCATCCATTCCCCTTATGAAGAAATTATTTTATGTAATTCCACCCTTCAGAAGTTCACAAAACAACATTGGCTTATGTCAAAATCCCAGCCATAATTAAACACATAAAAGTTAAATTATGAGCCCTGAAAGCACAGGAGTCTTGTTTAGCTCACTATCACCAAATGTGCAATGACTAGCTTTTCAAAAGTACAGAAGAAAGAACTGCCTCCGGGTGGAACAGGACAGCCTGTGGCAAGCCAGCAGCCTAGTGTACATCTAGACCAAATTACAAACTATCTGTACCCACCCGGGGACCCTGCAACTCCAGAGATAGGACAGCCTCAGAGAGGTGAGCCAACAAATGTTTACCTGGGATAATCTGTGGATTCTGGGCAAGAGCAGAAGAATGAAAACCAAAGCTTTCTACTGTGGAGGACCATTGCTAGGGACAGAGAGGCCAAGAGAATTTATGGGTGCTCTGGGGGATGGTCTTTAAGCAAGTGGTTGACATTCCACTTGGAACGTTTAATGAATTCTAGGAATGGTCAGGTCAGGATATTAAATACCTAAGCAGAAAGTCTTTGAAAAGTCTAGTGGAGTTTTTAGTGGGTTTATGAAACAATGAATGAAGTTTGCAACCTGCCAGGTGGAGGGCCTCTGGCAAGCACACCAGATAGAGAGTTAAAAACTGAAAGGCCAGGGGTAATTCTAGTCTGTTGGATAGAAGTCAAAATCATGGCCATCACTGGGGAGAGTACCAATTGGAAGGGGATATCATGAAGTTTTCTGAGATTCTGGATAAGTTCTCAGTCTAGTCGGTGACAGTTACCTGGGTTCATACATGTATCAAAACATACACTCAACTGATTTGTGCATTTTTCTTTTTGTTAGTTTAACCTCAATAAAATAGAAATATCATTAAAATAGCATCAATAAGTGTAATGAAAGATAAGACGTTTATACTAAAAATTCAAAACATTATTGAGAGAAACTAAGACAGAACTCACAAATTTGGAGATGTTTCATGTTCATGTATTAGAAGACTATTTTGTAGAGATGTCTATTATCCTTAATTTGATCTAAGATACATAAATTAGAATGAAAGTGTGATACTGCTACACAATGCAACATATTGGCTAAAACTAAAAAGATAATACCAGGTGTTGGTGAGAATATGGATAAACAGAAGCTTTTATAAACTGCTGAAGGTAGTGTAAATTGGACAACCATTCTAGAGAACAATTGGGCAGTGTTTCTAAAGTTGATCATATGCATCCCCATCCCAACAACTTCACTCTTTATTGTATACACAACAGAAATGTGTACATAGAATTGCTAAAACACATGTATGAAAACAGTTATAATAGCAGTATTTGTAATAGCTCCAATTAAAAATATTCCAAATATCCATTAAAAGAAGAATGGATAAATTAATTGTGAATTTTCATACAATGGCATACCACAACACAATGACATTAGACAAGCTCTACCCATAACATGGATGAATCTTTAAAACACAGTCTTGAGAGAAAGAAAGCAGATATTAAAAGCATATGTTGTATAATTCCATCTATTTTTATGAAGTCAGAATGACTAGAAGGTAAGCTTTATGGGGATCTGGCAAAGTTCTGTGTCTTTATCTGGGAACTGATTAGACAGATGTAGACACGCAAATTCATTGAGCTGTGTACATTTTCCTGTATAATAATATTTTATTTCCTTTTCTTAAAAAAGAGTTATATAAATTCAAAAAGTACTTAGGCAATATTTCAATCCTGATTGGCTTAAACCATTATTTTTCTCACTATCTGTGTGCATACTTTACCCATTTTCTACCCCATTGTATCTTCAAAGCCCATCCACAACGTGTCAACAAAATTAAAACATGTCTGTTCTTCTGAGGAAAGGAGACTATATTTACAAAACCTCCAAACACTGCCAGGGGAGAAGGGATAGCTCAATACACCCTCCTCCCAGTATTCTTCCTTCTCACCATTTTATTACCTAGAAAATTCTGTCTACCCCAGAAACAAAACAATGCCCTGCCTGATCTATCTGTCGCAAACACTCAGCAGGCTCAAATTCCCCGTCACCTCCTGTTCTGGCCAGGAGGCCCTCAGAGGCAAAGTGAGCAGGCCTGGGCATCTGCATTGGAGCTGTTCTGACATTCCATTTCTTTTTGCAAAAGGGGTAGGGGCTTTCAGACTGACCAGAGTTGAATCTCAGCTTCTCCATTTCCTGGCTGTGTGATTGCATTCTGTCACTTAGAGCCAAAGCCCGTTTTCTCATATGTGAAAAGGTGTCAGGGTCAAACAACTATTTGCAGCATTTTGGGGAGGATTGGTGATAATATCCAGAAAGTGGCTGCATATAGCATATGCTCATTAAATGATTGATTTTCTTTTCATCTACAGCTGGGGAAGGTGGCTATCAAAGCGTGAGCTAAGGATACTTCTCTGCCTAGAAGTAGAAGGTGGCCATATGGAAGTCTTTTTACTCTAGCTCAGGAGTCTATGCTAATAAGTAACTGTTATCTCTTTCCCAGCCTGGGAAGGCTCCAGGCTAGAAAAGAGGAGACTTAGATTCTAGTTTTGGGTCTGCTATTAAATAAATCTGTGACCTAGAACAAGTTCCTTAACCTCAGTCCTTTATCTACAAAATGAGAGATTGGGTTGGATGCCTTAAAATTAGGTCGATCCATGAATTCTTTTGAGTTTCTGCATTTGTATGGTTTGTGTTCTCTACACCCTCTCTAACCCCATCAGGGTGGATCTGGTGGTTTCCTAATAAGCAGAGGATATACATGTGTTTGGGGCAGGAGCAGAGCTCAAAAAATAAGAGAGTAAGTAAATGAATGAATGAAGATCAGATTCCATGAACAATTTCAGGCTATGGTAACTAGAAAATTTAAAAACAAGTGGCAACTAGGAATTTAAGGTAATTTTGAAAAATAAAGATTTATCTTATATAGATGGGCAGAGGAGGATTGAAGGGCAGTGACGAGGATCAGAATATGCCACCCTGAAATGTCCCACTTGGCACAAGTATTCTTTTGAGCTGAAGGCAGTTGAGGGTCAACAAGGACATAGTTTTCTGCCTTCCTCCTATCTGCCTAAAGGCAGAGCACAAATTTATCCTCTCTCTTGAGCAGGATGAGAGAACCAATTTTATTACTGGAGATGGAGAGCCGGCACTAAGATGAGTCTGCATGAACAAACCTTGCTAAAGTAGCCCTTATATTTCAGAAGTTTCCCCGTATAATCCCTAGTCATCTTCCACAATGTATTATCTCTTGAAGCTCAACCCCTTTTTCTTTCTTAGGAAGAATATACAGGCTCCCAAACCTAACCACTTCTTTGGGGTTTCACTTCTTTTCTGTGAAATACCTATGCATGTAAAAAATATTGATATCAATATAAATCATATGCCTTTTCTCCTATTAATCTGTCTTCTGTCAGTCACATTTGCAGGCCCCCATTACTGAACTTAAGAGGATAGACA